GAGCTTCTGGGGGGAATTCGTAGCTCATTGGTAGAGCGTTTGGTGCACCTAGACATATTGTTTGTGTCGCTGGTTTGAATCCAGTCGAAGTCCGGATTCTTCTCAACCGGATCGTTTCGTTGTAAACCACTTTGCCGTATTACCGACCACTACGGCTTTTTGTCATCTTTTGGGTGCGTGCATTAGGTTTATGTTGAAAAAAAAGAAAAAAACTTTTTCGTGGACCTGTCACTGTTTTGATCGTAAAGTAAAACTTGATTTAAGGGAAACCTTCTCAGATGAAAGAGGAAATTGATCAAGAAATAATTTGCTGATGCACTGGACGAACACATACCTATTAAGCTGATATATTCTAAGGGACTTAATTGGACAGCACTTGCTGACGTGAACGAGGTTAACCAAAATGATAGACACAGGCATCCTTTCGAACATTTGGGAGAGCTGGTCGGCAAGTGTTAGATCAGATGCGTTTTGCTTTGTTCAATTTTAGTTTTATCAAATTTTCTAGCACTGCAATTAGTGAGACTCCTTGTATATTGTTTAGTCGTCTTGTTTTCAATCCGTACACATTCTGCAAAATAAGTTGAACTTCTTTTCGAGGACGCAAGGCCGGTTGTTGACACATCTAACAGACCGAAATGCAGAAAGTGTGTTAACGATCATCCGTTTTATAGTGCCGCGGCTTGCCCAGACATTCCAGTCATAAAGATGTGCCCGTCAACGTTCGGTTCACTCGGTGTCTGTCTGCCCTGCTGGGTGATGAAGCGCGCAAGACCACTAATCGGGATCATTCGCTTATTCGGAATAAAAATCTCCCGACTGTCTAGATTGTAGCAAACCAGTACGATCCGTCGATCGTCTCACATATGCACCTATAGATTTCACTTGTAATCAAGATGGAGACTTTTGAGATCATTTGTATACATCCGGTGACCTACGGGAGTGTGTTAAGGAGCTGCTCAAAAGAGTTGTAACGATGGATCACTTTAGAGTACGAATAGGCTGGGTTGAATTCTTACCGGTTCAACTGGATTAGTCGTAATCTTTGAGTTAAATAGTGCGCTCCAGAGCAAGTAAACTTTATCCGTAATGTGCTGTTTGCACAGCAGCTTGCTTATTTGCAAACTCTTATTCCCGTGAATGCTGTTTTAATGGTTCGTTCTTGATTAAAAGAAGGAGGTCCATTACTGATTGACCGGGTAAGTGAATAATCGTGCAGGTTATGTTTAAGTCTTCTCCCGGATACCTGTAGTCCAGTGAAACTTAAATTATTACAACTAGCTTTTCAGTTGGAAGTTCATTCAGAACCTTACGGCTCTTTAAGTGAAACGGTATTAAACGTATTCAATATGACTCGTGTATCGTTCCAGAGATATGGGAAGCAGGCCTGCGTGTTTGTTCCTGGTTGGGACGAGGAATGGAGTGGAACTTGGACAGGAACGGGGTGTAGCTCTCAAACCCATCTGCGGTCTTTCAAAACAAATCATTGACTGAAGTTCATCAGGTGGTTCTAACCTCTCTTGCTAGTCATTACATGTTGTCCCATCATGAAAGTTCTCAGGAGTTTACGATCTGCAATGCACTAAACAGACGCGCACCAAGTTAGCCTGATAATATAAAGGTGTTGAATTCAGGACAGAGACCAACTTTGCATCCTCAGTTAACCACATTGGACAGTATTTTACTATGCTGCATTCACGAAACTATCAAACATATCGACAAAACAAGCCAACTTTCGTTGAATAGTATGTAAAACCGCACGCAAAAACTAGCTTCACTTTCCTATTGCAGTGGCTGAAACTCCCGAACTACTTGTGACTGGCCTCTGAAGAAGCAGACTCCAAACGTGGCCTCAGAGGAGGCTTAGTGAGGGTTACACGGACATATGGTTTCGGCGTCCACTAGCAAAGTGGTAGTCAGCTGGTTGACCTTGTTAAATCTCATCAGCACCACTTGCGCTGAGAACTCGAATATGGGACCTGTGATTATGCATCCGAATAGTAGTTCACGTCCACATCAGTTAGACTGCGGAGTATCACCCGCTGGGGTTGTAAGAAGATAGTTAATCCCTCTCCCTGGTTGTTGTGCTTTCTCTTCCCATTGACTGAGGTAGATCAGCTGTGTCCTAATGCATTACCGTTCTAACACATCC